AGGTTTGAATTTGTTCTTCAGTTCCTTGAGCTTAAGAAATGCTGAACGAGTTCGGCCCTTTTGATTTTCCAACTCTAGCTCCTCGCACATTTCATTGTAATATTTTGCTTTGTCATTCCGAGCTGTTTTTTGGAATCTTCTGTTCAGCTCTTTAGGATCTATCCTTCCTTGTGCTTTGGCTTCTCTACGCTCCAGTGCAATCTTCAGAGTTTCTTCTGACATCCATTTTGGTCTTTTCTTACACTTCTGTCTTTGTAATGAGCTGTGACTAGGCAATGTGAATCTGAGAAAGTGACAGACACAAATAGGTTGTGAGGTGGTCATTTGGTTGTAGACGCTGAGATTTACTGTTTGTATATTTAGTAGTATTGGGACCAGTGAGTAACAGTTCTGGGTGGGTGGGTATTTCTGTAGAAGCAAAACTTCCTTAAAGGCCAAAGTAGGATAAGTCTTCAACTGACTGCAAATCATTCTTACTGCTAGGCCACATAATTAATCCAACATAAGAGTCACCATTTAGAAATGTACACTGAATTCAGTGTCTTCTAGTATATTCACAAGGGTGTGTGATCATGACTATGTAATTCCAGAGCATTTTTTATTCCCCCAAAATGAAACCCATACTCATTGGCATCACTTCTCTTTTCCCCTTCTCCTTGGCCCTGGCAAGCACCAGACTACTTTGTTTTTCCATGGATAAGCCTATTCTAAACATTTCAAGTAAATAGATTCGAACAGTAGATACAGTATATGACTTGTGATTGGCTAAAGTTTCACTTAACCTTTTCAAGGTTTATACATGTTGTAGCAAGTTATCAGAGCTTCATTTTTATTTATGGTTGAGTACTGTTCTTTTCTGTGAACATTACATCTTGTATTTACCCCTTACCAGCTGATAAACATGCTTGTTGCTTCTCTTGTCTATTGCCTTCAAATGCAAACTGGCTTTCCCTCCATTGGGTTTCCAAGGCTGTACATCATACCAAGGACTACCCATCTTTCTCCTTCCAAGCTGCTGGTGAATTTAAACTGTCTAAAGTGTGGCATTTAAGTTAGTACTATGAACTAGGTCATGGTTTCCTTTGGTGGGGGGGGAGGCTATTATGAGAAAGGTTGCTGTGAACATATTTCTAAATTTTTTTATGAGCATATGCTTTAGTTTTCTTGGGTATATACCTAGGAAGAGTTGCTAGGTCCTATGATAAATCTACGTTTAACTTTCTGAGAACTTGCCACTTTGATTTTTATAGAACCTATACTATTTTACATTATGCTCAGGATGAATATATGACTCTTCAGTTTCTTCAGTCACACTTGTTTTGGTCTTTTATGTGTTAACTCATTCTAGAATTTTAAAGAACACAGCCCCTCTTCCTATTTCCTTCCCTTACAGCCAATCCTTTTCAGTTTAATGTATCTTTTGTGTCCTGCCCTTTCTTTGAGCACTACTATTTACTTTTTAGCTTTTGTTTTCTTACCTCTTCTTGCTTGATAAAACTACATCTGTCTCATGTTTGCAGAGGTGATGGCTTCATTAAGTTAGCTGTTGTTGTTAGGTGCCATCTAGTCAAATACGACTCAGAGTGACCCTGTGAACAGAAGATCTGAACCCTGTTCTATCCTGTGCCATCCTAACACTTCCTGACACACCTATTGTGGCAGTCAATGTCAACCCACCTGGTTGACAAGTCTTCTTCCTCTCCTTCGCCGACCCTCCACCCTCCCCACTATCATGTCCCTCTCCAAGGAATATCCCCTCCTAGCAACATGCCTATTGTATGTGAGGTGAAGCCTCATCATTCTTGCAAAGCAGCACTCAGGCTGCACCCTCTCCAAGACATTCCTGTTTGTTCTATTGGCCATCCATGGGATTTTCTGTGCTCTCTAGCACAACAGCTCAGAGGTGTTAATTTTTCTTTGGTATAAATATTGGTCACGGTTTTTATTCCTTCTTATGTATGTTTTCTGCTGAATTTTAAAAGTGAAACTTTTTTCTTTGAACTTTTAAATAATTGAGGTGAATTTTATTTAACATAAAATTAACTATTTTAAAGTGTACAAGTCAGTGGCATTTAGTATACTCATGGTGTTGTGTGGCCATCACTTCTGCCAGGTCCAAAGTATTTTCATCACCTTAGAAGAAAATGATATTTATTAAACACTTTTTTTTATCCTTTCCCCCCAGTGCCTATCAACCAGCACCTACCTGTCTGTCTTCTGTCTCTATATATTTACCTGTTCTGAATATCTCATATACCTGGATTCATACATTGTATTACCTTTTGTATTTGGTATCTTTGACTTAGTGTAATAACATGGTTCATTCACATAACACATTTCAGGACTTAATTTGTTTTTATCGTTGAATATATTCCATTGTGGGTGTATTTAGTAGCTATTGCTTATTCATCCATCTGTTGATTCATTTGGTTGTTTTTATCCTATGTGAATATATAAGCATTTGCTATATTACTGCTTTTCAGTTCTTTGGCGTATATGCTTGTTCTTTCCTTCGCATAAGATCATGCACTGGAGTTGTTGGGGTTTTTTTTTTCTTTAGCATTAAAAAAAATTGAGGTGAAAATCAACATAAAGTTAACTATTTTAAAGTATACAACTCAGTGGCATTTAGTATACTCAGAAATGTTGCACAATCAACACTTCTTTGAGGTCCAAAGCATTTTATCACCTCAGGGGGGAAAAAAAATCTATTTATCCCACAGTTACTTCTTATTCTCTCTTTCTGCAATGTGGTAATTTTCATTTTTTAAAGGAATCACTAAACTGCATTTACATTCTTATCATCAAGGGACGAGTTCTCCAACTTTTCCACGCTTGTGGGAGGTTTAGTAGTCTGTTGGAAGCTGTGTTGATAACCTAAAGGCAGTGCCTCTCTGCCAGTTCAGATCTACCAGCAGATTCTCAGGGGGAAGATGGGTTATCTTCTCCTGTGAGAGTTACAGCTGTCCGAAATCTCGAGTACCTTCCTCACTTTCACTGACCTACTACTTTACTCCTCATCATGTCTTTTCCAAGGATGAGACTTTCTGTCTTTGCCTTCAAGCAGCATTCTGGCTGTACTTCTTCCAAGATAGATAAAAGGTGACTGAAAATACTGACTGGGATCAATCCACCTTAGTAGTGACATCTTTGCTTTAGCATTTTTAAAAAAGTTTTTTGCTGTAGATTTCTAATCCCATATGTTTGGTTTCTTGACTGATGCTTCCATGGGTGTTAACTGTGAATTCAAGTAAATTGAAATCCTTGATAACATCCATATTTTTTCCATTTATTATAATGTTATTTATTGGTCCAATAATGGTTGTTTATTGTGAGCATTTTTGTTTTCTTGGTATTGAAATGTGTGGTCTATACTGACAGCTACAATCTTGATATTCACCACTCAGTGCTTCAAGCCCTCTGTGTCTTTACCTAGCAAGACTGAGTTATCTGCATGCTGCTTGTTGTTAATAAATGTTCTCTAATCCTGATGTTGCATTCTCCATATAGTCTAGTTTCTTGGGTTACTTGCTCAGCATACAGTTTAAGAAGTACGGTGAAAGGATATAACCCTGATGTACACCTGTTCTCATTATAAACCATTTTAAACCTTGTCTGGTTTGAATGACTGCTTGGTCTCTTTATTCCACATGAAAACAGTTACATATTCTGGAATTTCCATTCTTCTCAGTAGTATCCATAATTTGTTATGAACCACATATGTACTTGTTTATAAAACATAAACATCTTTCTAGTATTCTGTATGAATTCAGCTTGAATTTCTGGTAGTTCATGTACTGCTGCAATAATTTTTTGAATTAATAGAAAAAAATGTGTAAGATTATATGTGTAAGCATGTTTATTCGAGGATAGTTAATAATACAGAAACTGAAAACCATTCAAATGTCTTAATTGAAAACATTTATTACTTAACTATTAAACACAGAAATTCTCACCAATTGGCAGCACCATGATAGATGGAGAAGAGATTGAGGTTGTTAACAATTACAACTTGCTTGTTAACAATAACAGTTGCTTGCTAGGCTCAGCAATCAACACTCTTAGTCAGGAAATCAAAGATGAATTGCAATGGGAGTATCTGCTGTCAGGGACCTCTCTAGAGCACTGAAAAGCAACGGTGACCGTCTAGAGACTAAGGTGCATCTAATCCAGGCCATGGTCTTTGCAGTTATTTGTTATGCTTTAGAGAGCTGGACAAGGACTAAGGATGACAGAAGAACAGTTGATGCCTAAGGATGACAGAAGAAGAATTGATACCTTTGAATTGTGGTGCTGGAGAAGAGTCTTGAACATACCACGGACTGCCAAAAAAACAAATAGGTCTGTCTTGGAGAGGGTTAAAACCAAATTTCTCCTTGGAAGCTAGGATTTTGAAGCCCTGTCTCACATTCTTTGGGTACGTGGCCAGGAGAGACTCGTCCTTGGAGAAGGACATTATGCTGGGAAGGGTGGAGGGATAGCGCATGAGTGGAAGACCCTGGATAAGATAGATTGATACAGTAACTTGGACAATGGGGGTTAGTGTGTTGGAATTAGTGAAATTGACTCAGGACAGGGCAGGGTTCAGAGCTGCTGTACATAGGGTCGCTGTGGGTCACAGGCAACCTGATGACATATAACAACAACAAATGTGGAATACTAACTTTGATTGTTACAATTAAAAATAATGTTAGAGAAAAAACCAATTTAACGTATTTACATATTACTGGCATGATTTTATATATTAAATATACAGGTATTGGAAACCTGGTTAGCAGAGATCATAAAAGGTAGGAAAAATAAGGAATGGGATAAGGTTTTTATTGTCTGTGCTTACTTTTTAGAAATAAAGATTACATATAGAAAATATAAATTTTAATTTGAAAGGGTCCTCTGTAATAATTTTTCTTATGAAATTATTTCTTTGTGTTCTGCTTTTTGTGAGTTTCAATAAATTTGATATATTCCTATTGCTTTGTGTATTTTGTTTTCAGAGCAGTGGAAAAAGCTCAGTGTTAGAAAGCCTCGTAGGGAGAGACCTGCTTCCCAGAGGTACTGGTATTGTCACTCGGAGGCCTCTCATCCTGCAGCTGGTCCATGTTGCACCAGAAGATAAACGAAAAACAACAGGAGAAGAAAATGGTAAATTCAGAATTGGGATAAGAATGCTTTTAAAATTTATCTTTGCTCTGTTCTTAAAAATACATTAATTAGAAATTAGAGTCATATAAAAACCATTAGTCTGTGAAGAGAAATAATATTCATTTTTCTCATGCTTTTTAAAAAAAAGAGTAATTTCTGTTATTTTGGAGGACTGTGAATAACATTATTAGGAATAGTCCTTTTTTTTGATCATCTAGATCCTTAGACAACTGTCATTAATGTTGTTGTTGTTAAGTGCCATAGAGTTGCAGGTGACTCATAGTGACCCTATGAATGAAGACCTGGACACTTCCTATATCATTTTCGTCCTTTCTCCAGGTTCATAGGGTTCCAGAGGCAAGCTATTGTGGAAGAGACTGCCACACCTGCTTAACTGTCTTTAATACTCTATAAATTTTAATGAAGGATTTTCTGTAAGATACTTAGTAAACAGGGTTCATTTTTTGTGTCTGCTTTTTCAAATTTCCTTTCTAGTATTTAAAATACCAGCCCCCACCTTTGAATTAGAATTGACATCATTTAGATTCTAGTTGTTTTAAGCAAAATTAAATAACTGTTTTTCAGCACTGTGGCAATTGGACAATTAAAACAGACATTCGGATGGCGGGGAAGAAGAACAAACTGGGGAGGAGGGTGGAGAGAATGGTGCGGCAATGAAGGAGTGAAAGCCCAGAATTCCTGTGAATGTTCATTGAAACTAATAAAATTTAATAATAAAAAAAAAAAAACCCTGTTTTTCATCTTGACAATGCTACCTCACCTTCCCTTTTCTAGTCTTAACTATTTGCTAAGGGAGGCTGATTTATTTCTCTCTTATTTTAAGGTGAATATGATTTATAGAGGAGTTTTTGTTTTGCTTTTTAAACTATCCCTCTCGTTGAGGCTTACCTATATAAAAATCACACCAAACTAGCTGTTGTCCTGTTAATGCCAATTCAAGCCAACCCATTATTTTTTAAGATAACTTCCTCTTCCTCATGTTCAGGCTCTTCTGTCTCCTGCTGAACTCTATTAGGCTATATTTTTAATGTAATATATGAATAGTTAAGGAGTTTTAAAAGAAGAAAATATGCACTATTCTTTTCTTTTAAGTAGGTAAATGGAATGTGCTTTAATTGTTAACCATATGTATCAGCAGATTTTATTACTTCTTAAGTATGTCTTTTATATTACTCATACTTAAATGTATTAAAAGAGGTTTCAAATGTTGATCGCAGTAGTATGTTTGATATTCCTGTTTTGTTCACTGTTCGATTTGGACTGTCTTATTTACAAAACTTGTGAATGAGATTTTATAATTAAATTACTTTTGCAATAGATTTACCATGCTTATTTCTCAGGTACAAAAGTCCATATTTAATACAGTTTCATCCTATTTATGTTCTGATTGGATAGCAGTATTGATGAAATTAAAGCTACTTTAATTTTTGTATCTGATTTTTCTTAATTATTGAAGTTATTGGTGATGAGTTTTAAATCACATCCTATACTGATCTTTCTTATGACTTTAGAAAGGTAGTTATTAAAGCAAATTAATGAAAGTCTACATATTAATAAACATTTTTGAATAGACTGCTAACGAATATGTAAGAGCCTTAATGTATTAGGTATGCTACATAGCACTTCATTTCTCTGTAGTATTTGTTTTTTACAGAAATTCTAAACCTTGAATTTACTGATTAATAAGTTCAGCCTCAAATATGTAGAATACATTTTTATATTTCATTTCCACTAACTGATTTCATTAAATAAATTTGCCAAATAACTTAAAAAGATTTTAAAACTATATGACACTGGGCCTCTTCCTTTAAGTTTGACTTTTTTCAGTAACCTTGAAAAGGACAAATGAAAGCCCAACTCTCAGAATCATATTTGCAAATGTGGGTATTGTCTATTTTGCTTGTTAGAAAAGGATGTATGACTTAGCTATAGAAGTATAAACTCATGATTATCTCTCCTTGTGTGTCTACTGTGTTTTACTGACCTCTTCTTGGTTATGGTTAGTAAATCTAATTATATTTACACACACACATTCACTTCCAGCTTAGTGCTTATTTTCATATAGAAAAACAATTAAGCTAGATTTTACAGACCAACAAATAGAGTTCATTAATTTTGAGTACTAAAAGTCAGCTGTGAGGGACCTCTCAAGAGTACTAAAGAGCAACGATGTCAGGCCAGGTTGGAGACTAAGGTGTGCCTGATCCAGGCTATAGTCTTCGCAATTACGTGCTATGCTGGGCAGTGAAGAGGGATGACAGAAAGAGAATTGATGCCTTTGAGCTGTGGTGCTGGAGAAGAGTGTTGAATATACCATGGACTGCTAGGAGAACAAACAGGTTTGTCTTGGAGTTGGTGAAGCCAGAATACTCCTTGGAGTCAAGGATTCTGAAGCTCTGTCTGACATACTTTGGGCATGTTGCAAGGAGGGACTGGTCCTTGGAGAGGGACATCATGTTTGGGAGAGTGGAGGGACAATGCAGGAGAGGAAGACCCTTGATGAGATGGATCGATTCTATGAGTGGAGTGGTGGGAATGAGTGTGTCTGGGATGGCGAGGTTGGCACAGGATCGAACTGTATTTAGGGCTCTTGTACGTAGGGTTGCTATGAGTCACAAGTGACTCGATGGCACATAACAACAACAACAACAAATGTGGCTTATTTTAGGATAATTTCTCATCAGAACCTCTATATCTTTGGTATAAATTATTCTGGCCCATCACTGTGGTATGGTCTGCAGTGAATTGTGCTGCTAAGCCAAGGACTGCAAATATGGTATTTTGAATCCACTTGAGGGGCCTTGCAAGAAAGATGGGAAGTTTCTTCCTATTAAATTTCCAGCCTTGCAAACCCAAGGAAGGTGGTTGTGCCTTGGAACCTAGTGGACTGACTAGGCACTGAATGTAAGTCTATAATAAATGATATTAACCCAGAGGAAATTAGAAACCGTGATGTACATAAGCCATATAATTAGTGACAGTTCAAAATACTTGATGAGGGAAAACTACAAAGAAGGAGGAGGAAGGGAGAAAAGACAAGCAGACGAAGAACTTTTGAAAAAGGGAGTAGAAAATCTGTGTCTAACTATTGGATGGGGATTTATAGCCCTTAAGTACTTAATATGTTTTGTTTTTTTAAAAAGGCCTAGGTTTATCAAAATTGGTTAATTTAAGAAGAGTGTATTCTAAAATGAAATGGAGAAACGTAATTCATCAAAGCTTTCTAAAAATAGTTTTATATATTTATCTATATATAGATGTATATATAGATAGATATATATATCTCAAGAAAATTTATTTAATGGAAGATCCTTGCTATCCCATAGATTTATGGGATTTTGTATAACATTTCTGTTTGACTTTCAGTTCCACCACTGTGAACAAATTTTCTGTTAAATGCTTACTAAAAACAAAATCAAACTCTTGTAGTAGTGTGGTAATTTAGTTTGAATTTGAACTTTGTACTGCACAGTTATCTTCAAATGTTTGTAAGAAATCAAACTTTACTTAGATTTCCTCTTTTGACAGACATCTACCGGCAACATGCTGATTAAAGAGCAAGCATAACCCTAATACCAAAACCAGGCAAAGATAGTACCAAGAAACAAAACTACAGACCAATATCTGTCATGAATATAGATGCAAAAATCATTAACAAAATCCTACCCAATGGAATCCAAAAGCACATAAAAAAAAAAAAATTCACCGTGATCAAGTGGGATTCATAATAATTTTGCAAGAATGGTTCAACATAAGTAAAACAATCAATGTAATTCATTATATTAACAAAATAAGTAACAAGAACCATATGATCTTAGCAATTGATTCAGAAAAGGCATACAAAATCCAACACCTCTTCCTAATAAAGACACTCAGCAAAATTGGAATAGAAGGGAATTTCCTCAACATAGTGAAAAGGATATATGCAAAACCAAGAGCCAATATCATTCTCAATGGAGAAAGACTAAAAACATTTTCCTTGCAAACAGGGACCAGATAAGGATGCCCACTGCCACCACTTTTTTTTCAGTATTGTATTGGAAGTGCTTGCTAGGGCAATATGACAAGAGAAAGAAAGAAAAGGCATCCAGATTGGCAAAGAGATGGTTAAACTGTTGCTATATGCAGACGATATGATAGTGTACTGAGAAAACCCCAAAGACTCAACAAAAAAACTGTTAGAGTTAATAGGCCAATTTAGTTGAGTGGCAGGATTTAAGATTAATATCCAAAAAAATCAATAGGATTCCTCTACAGTAACACAGAGAACTCAGAGAAGGAAACCAAGAAAGCAATATCAATTACAGTAGCCAACCACAAATTGAGATATTTGGCAGTGAACCTAATTAGAGATACAAAAGACCTGTACAAAGAAAACTACAGAGCATTTCTGAAAGACACACTAAAAGACCTAAAGAACAAAAACTTCTCCCACACGGTAAAAAGGGAAGCTACCAACTGGGGAAAAAGTATTTGGTAATCACATATCAGATAAGGGACTTATATCCAGAATTTATAAAATATTTGAGCACCACAACAAGATAAAGGTAAATAATCCAATAGGAAAATGGGCACAGGACATGAAGAAGACATTCAGATGGCTAACAAGCACATGAAAAAAATGTTCAAAATCCCTAGCTCTCAGAGAGATGCAAATAAAAACAACTATGAGATATCATCTCACCCCAGTCATATTAGCAGAATTTAACAGAACAGCAAGAAACAAATGCTGGCAAGGTTGTGGAGAAACTGGAACCCTTATTCACTGTTGGTGGAAGTGTAAAATGGTGCAGCCACTGTGGAAGGCGGTATGGCATTTTCTCAAAAAGTTGCAAATAGAGATACCATTTGACCCAGCAATTGTACTACTGGGAATATACCCCAAAGAGACCATAACTGACATGCAGACATATGCACACCCATGTTTATTGCGGCTTTGTTCACAATAGCAAGGAGTTGGAAACAACCCAGGTGCCCATCAACAAACGAATGGATAGAGAAGCTGTGGTATATTCACACAATGGAATACTATGCTGCATTGAAAAACAAGCAACTAATCCAATATTATTCAAAATAAGTGACCCTGGAGGACATTATGCTGAGTGAAGTATCTCAGTCACAAAAAGCCAAATACTGCATGGTGCCATTGTTATAAAACAGGACTGACCTTGGGGTTGGGGAGAGACTGAGAAAGATAGGTTAAATAATGTATACTGCATTGAAACAGATGGAGAAAACTGTTTAAAAGGGATAGGTGATTAGGTATTTTTTTCATGATAGGAGGGTAGTGTACTAGGGGACAAGGTTAGGAGGGGAGAAAAGTGCAACAATGAATGAAGGGAAGTCCAAAGTCTCTGTAAATTTTTACTGAAATTAGTAATAAATTTTAAAAAAGAAAGAAAAAACGACCTAAAGAAATGGAAAAATATGTTCTTTTCATTCATAGGAAGACTCAATATTGTGAAATGACAATCCTACCAAAAGCAATCTACATGTTTAATGCAATCCCAATCCAGATACCAAATTCATTTTTCAAGACGATTGAAAGGGAAATTATCAAATTTATTTGGAGAGGCAAAAGACCCCAAATAAGAAAAAAACTTCTGAGAAACAAAAATGAGGTTGGAGGCATAGCACTCTCTGATGTCAAAACCTAATACACAGCAGTGGTAGCCAAAACAGCATGATACTGGTACAATGACAGGCACATAGACCAATGGAACACAAATGAGAACTCAGAAATAGACCCAGCTATCTATGGTCAACTGATATTTGACAAGGCAATCAAAACTATCGAATGTGGAAATGATAATCTCTTCAACATATGATGCTGGCTAAACTAGACTGCTTATTGCAGAAAGCTGAAAACAGGATCCACATCTCATACTATATACAAAAATCAACTCAAGGTGGATCAGAGATCTGGGAGTAAAGCCCAAAACCATAATAATGCTCATCAGAGATAAACTGGGATCAAGCTTAGAAGCGCTAGTCCAAGTTATAAAGAGACTGCCAAATATGACCAGAAATTCACAATCTGAACAGAATGAAAATAGATGCATGGGACCTTCTAAAGATTAAATCCATTTGTGCATCAAAACCTTTTCCCAACAGGGTGAAAAGAAAACCTACAGACTGGAACAAACATTTGGTAGTACCATCTCAGACAAAAGTCTTATAAGAAAAGTTTATAGAATACTTACGGGCCTCCACAAGAAAAAGACTGATAACCCAGTTATAAAATGGGCAAAAGACATGGAAAGAATTTTCACAGAGGAAGATATTTAACTGGCAAACAGATACATGAAGAAATGCTCCAAATCACAGACAGTAAAAGAGATGCAAATCAAAACCACATTGAGGTATCATCTCACTCCAGTTAACAGTGGCAAAGTTTAACAGGACAGCAAGTAATAAATGTAGGAGAGGATGTGGTGAGAAAGGAACTCTCTTTTTTTTTTTTAATGTACTATGTTTCTTTTTCTATTAATTAAAATCATGACAGCTATAGCTGTCATTTGCAGCAAGTGTTAAAGACTAAACTACCTTATCTAAGCCATGGTATTTTTTTCTTTTTTCTTTTTCTTTTGAGAAAGGAACTCTTATACATTGTTGGTGGGATTGTAAAATGGTATAGCCATTCTGGAAGGCAGTTTGGCGCTTCCTCAAAAAGCTGAACATAGAAATTTCATATGACCCAGCTATTCCATTACTTGGAATATACCCTGAGAAAATGAGAACTGAGGCACAAATGGAGATTTGTACACCAGTGTTCATAGCAGCTTTATTCACCATCACAAAAACATAGAAAGAGCCCAAATGTCCAACCACTAATGAATGGATTGAGAAATTTATGGTATATTCACACAATAGAATACTATGTAGCATGCAAGACCAATGGTTTTGCAAATTATTAATTATTACTTAACTTGGGAGGGACTCGAGAGCATTTTGCTGAGTGAACTGAGTCCCACAGGATAAATATTGTATAAAACTATTATTGTAAAATGAGTATAAGGATCCAGGGTGGGTGGAGAGGGTGGAAGTAGAGGGATGAGCATGTGCACGGGGAGAAGGGAGTAATCATGGGGTTGTACAATTTGATGGGTGGGGGGTGAGGGAAATTGAAAAATTTCTATAAAACAATGTATTCAAATTTTGTAAATTAATTAGTAGAAAATTAAAAAACAAAACCCCCAAAATTGTGCTATTATAGTTCTTAATATATCAATGGATATTTGAAAGTTTATACTGGGAAAAGTTTTTAAACAAAATGTTTTTGTTTTATGCAAATATGTATGTTTAATTAAATAAAGCCTAAAAATATAGATGTTGTGACCCCTACTTGACTAACCTATTTGTGAAAGCAATCAGTTACCTCAGAAAGGAAGTAAAATTATATATAAGAATTAAGAGAAAACACTGTAATTAATGTTATAAAAACAGTGTATGAGAGGTTGAATTCAAAACTGACTTGCATCTTAAAAAATGAAAAAGAACTAAGGGACAAGATAGGGCTAATTATTCTGCACTGGAGGCTGCAGTCCATGCAATGCATGTAGTCATTCCCCTCAGGATTGAATCCCCAAAGGTGAACAGTAACTTTTGTGTTATTCTTTGTTCTGACAAATGCAATATATATTTCAAAGAAAATGACCTCTTAGCTGACAGAGTTTTTTATTAACTATTAAGGGCTGTGAAAGATGTGTTTAGTATTTTTTGTTGTTGTTGTGGTTCATTCTTCTCAGGTAATTAATGTTTTCCAAATCCTATTTTTATTTGTTTCCTAGAACTTCAGATGTCTAAGAGAAAATTTTAAATATCTGATTAATTCTAATTCATTTGTGTAAGAATTAGAAGCAATGACAAATGTACTTAAAATGTTAAAAATATAACATATAATATGCTTGACTTATATATATCCCATTTAAAATTATATACATCTTTCTAATGTTAGATATCTTTTGAGTAACTGAATGCTGTGTGCATTTGAACTATGTCTAAATTTCTGCACATTTTATTTTTTTTTAAGATTTAAAATCTCAGTGATAAGCACTAAAATTATTATTCTGTGCTGTTTCTCTTTAACTACAGACCCTGCTACATGGAAAAACTCAAGACACCTTTCTAAAGGTTTCCTTTATCTTTGATTTTGACCCTTTTTTCTTTCATGCCTGCATGTGTGCTTTTGTACTCTTACAGGCTGTCTGCATTTTTCCCCCTTCCATTTTTATTTGCCTATCCACATTGATTGCAGGTGTTAATATTCTTGTTATCTTTTGGCATTGCATCAAAATGGAAGCTTTTTTGGTGGTGAATGTAATTTATTTTATTTTTAAAAACATGCTTGTGAAGCTGGGTGTCTCTGATATGATAAGATAAACATACCCATTTAGAATGGAGTACCCTGTCTCTGTGAGTTCTAATCACCTAGATTACTCTAGACTCTCCAATGAAACTTCTTGGAAGAAGGTACTAAGCTGCAAGTAGGTGAGCATTTTACTTGTAAACAGGATCCAGTTTTACTTACCTTTATTCCACCAAAGAATTGACCCACCTTTTTCTCAGTAAATATTTATATGAATATCTTGCAGTCATTTTTTTTTTTACTTAACAGGGATTATAATGCATTCTTTAATAAACTTAATTGTGAAGAAATGTCAGCTTCTGTGAATTTAGTAAAGCAGAATAGCTGTGCTTGGTGGAGGCCAAGTTGACTATCTTCCTATAATTAAATATTTCTAGCTTCTTTGGGAAAAAGAGAATGAAACTTGGTATTCAAGTTTTTAGTTCACTTCACATAGTATATCTAGTTAATGTTCTCCTTTTGCCTAGCAAGTTCAGGTTTTAAAGACCCAAGACTGGAAACTAGAAACTTCATACAATGCATATGCCAGGATGGTTTTAGTTTTCTCCATTTCATTTCTTTTCTTTGGAAAATATCACATTGATATAAACTAATTGAGTAGTTCTGACCTCGGTAAAGTTATGACAGATTGTGACTTTTATAGGTAGCAGGGAAACAACAAAAATTAGTTTGAAAATGAGTAATTTCATTCACATTTTTCAGTCTTTTTGAATTATATGTGAACTATTACATTTAATTTGTGTTAGAAGAATTCTGAGTACTTTTATAAATAATAATGCTTTTATGTATAATATTTTTTGCAACATGTGCCTTTTAATATAAAGTGATTTTATTCATGAACCCAAAATTCTCTTTTCTCTCCCCTTATTTAGCGATTCTTTCACCCAACTTACTATTATGTAATTAATTTTTTACTTTATAATTATTCCTTTTTCTCCTCTATACCTTAGTAATCATCAAAGAATGTTCCATTCTATATGCATACTATTCCTTAGCTTTTTTATGATACTGTGCTCATATGGTATTTGCTTTTTGTGTCTGGCTTATTTCACTCAGCATAATTCCTCCAGGTTCATCTGTGTTACAGTGTTTCACAAAATCATTATTCTTTAACATTGTATGTATTTACCATAGTTTATCTAGTCATCTGTTGATGGATACTTAGGTTTTATGAAATCTAAATTTTAAATGAATCGGGAAATTGTGAAATCCTCTACCTGATATAGGCTGACCCCTGGTTGAGATCCATGACTTTAAGACAAGTCCTATTTATCATTAATGGTTATGTACATTTTCCCTCACTGAAATGATTAACTCCTATACTCACTTTTATTTGCTGCATAAGCTATATTTAAATCACCGAAAAGACTTTGTGATTTTTCTTTTATTAAGGTAAATAAGAACGTTCTGCCCTCAACTTACAAATATTGCTTAAAGACTTAAAAGATTCAGTTAGGAATGAGTCTTGTTAGTTACCTGCGGATTGCCTGTACACAATATCATTTTTAAAATGAGAAATGTTTAATATAGCAGGTCTTAGCAATAGTTAATTTATAATTAACAAAAATTAAACTGCCTTTTAAATCCCTAAAGAAAGATAACAAGTAATTTCCATAGTTTCTAGTAAATGAGTTTTTCTTTTTCCAGGAGTTGAAGCAGAAGAATGGGGTAAATTTCTCCACACCAAAAATAAGGTAATCACACAAGAATATATAATACAGAAATAACATAATGAAAATATTTTTGTGTATATGTGTAAGTAATTATAGATTCTTAGAATGATTCTAATTTAGAGAGGTTTAACTGTTGAGAGCCCAGGAAACTTTGAAAAGCTCTTCAAAATTATAAATCCTTATCTCAGAAACCCCCATATATGTACACATACATTACAATTTGTTTATGAACCTCTGAAGCAAATCCACAGACATCTTTGAAGTATAGAAATCCTCCACTGAAGAACTTGTTCCTTCATTTTGAATAGCATGCTTGCTTTTGTGTGTTTTTTTTTAAATTTTTAGCTTTACACGGATTTTGATGAAATTCGACAAGAAATTGAAAATGAAACGGAAAGAATTTCAGGAAATAATAAGGTAAGTATTGTCCATTTAGAATTGGGAGTTATTTATATGATGTGTGACCAAAATCTCAAAAACAAACCTCTTATTGTCAGGTAGTTTTTATTCATAGATACCCATATGTGTTAAACAGTGCATGCAGTTTGACCTCCATAGGATATTCTTGGCCAGAACTAAATTGCCTGTCCTCTCATATGGTATAGGTTTAAACCAAACATCCAGTTAGCAACTAAGGACAAACTATATAATCTTGGTCCTTGAAAGTATCAGATTGGAAAAAAAAATTCTTTTCAGTGCTATATGAAATGTTTCATGTAGATATTCTTGTTTCTGCCATGTACATGCCACTTGATAATCATTTTACATACTACTATGCTAAAAAGGGAGCTCTGGTGGCCTAGTGGTAAGAAGCTGTGCTGCCATCCTGAAAGCAGGCAGGTCAAATCCACCAGCTGCTCTGGGGGAGAATGATGGGCAGTCTCCTCCCATGTGATTGACTGCCTCTGAAAACCCACTGGAAGGTCAGCTGTGGGTTGGTTCCAACTCAACGGTACTCAACAACAACTACAACTATGCTAAGCTTTCTTTTACTGATCACATTTTGACTCAAGCATCATGTTAAAATGTATGAAGTATACATAATCAGCAGAACTCTCTTTCTTACCCCTGAATAAGACTGTATTTATTTAGGAAAGAGAAATCAGCTAAATTTTTTAGTGAAAAATGAAAAGTAGTAAGCTAATAACTGAATTACTTTATTTTCTAAAATTATAAAGATTCTTCAAAATTTTCTAAAATTTAAAATAAATTGGCTAAGATACTATTTATTGTGATGAAGTGCCATTCCTTTCCTCCCTAAATACTTCTTTTTTTGTCTTTATTCCTATTGTTGTTCTGTTCGCTAAATACTTCTTTTTTTTTCCTCTTTCCTTTATTCCTATTGCTGTTCTGTTCCCTTTTTTTTTTGTTTTTACTACCATGCTGATATCTACAAAGGCACATGTGGCAACATTTAATCCCATACAAGGGTGCTAACTTTTTACCATGTTAACAGTGTTATGGAAACTGTAGAGGATCACTGAGTTGGAATTGAATCAATGGCAGTGGATTTTTGTATGCCTGGAATGTGTTCAATTAATGCTGAAGATATACTTTACTTAGTAAGCTTTGTTCTGTAGTATCTCAAAGAGTCTTCTATCCCTAGATCTATGAATATCTCTTTCTTAAATCATGTGTAAAATGAAGTAAATGAGACTCTGATCTTATGCAAGTAATTCTATATGTTTGAATGTTTAAATTATGCCCTACACCTAACATAAAGCCTTGAAGGATCTGAAGTATCTTTGAGATTGGATTTGTAAAGATACTTGCCAGAAAATGACAGATTCTTAACAGAGGAAAAAACACAAACATTGTCTGGGCATATGGGGCAAAGTATTATGCATGGCACAGAATGACATGGCCATTAAGATCCTGAGAAATAATACAGCCTAGGTAAAGATGTAGAATTTGATTCATGACTTTGGAAATTGGAGTATTTTTAAAAAAATAATAATTCAGAGTATACAGCAAATATAAGTGCATAGGACTGCTGCATAAAAGCTTCCTGGGAAATAAGAATTTTTGAGTGAGGATGGTATTGCTTTTATTTGTAAGTTATAGTTTTCATTAGGTTTTAACTGTTAAAATGTTATAGGGATCATGGTTTATTTACTTTTAAATATCTATTACTTTATCAATTATTGAAATTTCTGTAGAATATGATATTAATCTGATAGGGCTTTACCACGAGTTAGAGTCAAATCAATGGTGACTTTTTTTGATGTAGGGAGTGTGTGTAGGATTTAATATGTTTCTACTTGAAGCGAAGTTTATTCTTATTTCATTGGGATTTAATATTAATTTAATAGACTATTTAAAAACTTTTTTTAGGGAGTAAGCCCTGAACCAATTCATCTTAAGATATTTTCACCCAATGTTGTTAATCTGACGCTTGTGGATTTGCCAGGAATGACCAAGGTAAGGAGTAGTTGTTAAACACTGTGGATTTAATAATGCTTGTTTTCTGCTTAATCATCATATGAGAATAATTATTCTGTTAGCATTATTTGGCATGGTACACCTATCTCTCAGAGTAGCTGATGGATTAGAATTGCTGACCTTTTGGTTAGCAGCTTACTATATTATGCACAACACCATCAGGGCTCCTTTAAAATACAGTAGCAGTGTGCTTTTTTCAAGCTGGACCCAACTCATAGCTGACTCTCCAGTGGGTTTTCAGAGTCAGTAAATTACACAAAAGGGACTGTCCATCTGTCTCCCAAAGAAATAAAGTAGGCTGCCCATCAGTGAGTGCAAGCAGAATAAATTATTCAATGGACCATTAATATTGATAAGTCCTTAACACAGGATTATGTTATGTATGCTGTTTGCTGCTGTTGTGTGCCATCAAGTCACCATAACTCATAGCGACTCTATGTACAACAACTCTGAACCCTGCTCTATCCTGAGCCAACCTTACTGTCTCCGACACACCTCCCTCCAGTACCCCAGTCACTGAATCAATCTATCTCATTGAGGGTCTCGCCCTCCTGCACTGTCCCTCCATGCTCCCAAGCATGATGTCCCTCTCCAAGGACTGGTCCCTCCTAACAACTTATCCAAAGTATGTCAGATGAAGCTTCAGAATTCTGGCCTCCAAG